TCTTATTCTAATCCAATAATCTATGTGTCTGTTTTTATGCCAGTACCATGCTATTTTGATTACTATAGCCTCTATTTTCAAGTCTATTTTGTCTGATAGAAGTATTGGTACTCCAACTTTGGTTTCCATTTGCATGAAATATCTTTGCTCATCCCTTATTTTCAGTTTGTGTGTCTATCTGGAGTAGGTGTCTTCTAGGCAGCATATGTTCAAGTCTTAATTTTTATTTTGTGTTTGATTGAGTCAGTCACCCTATATCTTTTGACTGGAGTACTTAATCCTTTTACATTTAAAGTAATTATTTATAGGTATGCAGTTATAAGCATAGGTATAAGCAACACAGTGATGTGTATTGATCATACTTGTTTTCTAATTGTTTTTGTATTTCTTCTATTTCTTTTATATTCTCTTGCTCTTTTCTCTTGTATGTTGATGACTTACTATATTATGTTTAGATTCCTTTTAAAATTTATTTTGTCTCTCAGAGATTTCTGGTTAGCAAGTACTATATATATACCAAGTTATATTTATAGCAGTCTATTTAAGTTGATTTTCTCTAAGATTGAACAGTCTAAATCATCAATTTTTAAAAATATATTTTATTGATTTTTTTACAGAGAGGAAGAGAGAGATAGCTAGAAATGTCAATGAGAAACATTGACCAGCTGCCTCCTGCACACACCCCCACCGGGGATGTGCCCGAAACCAGTGTACATGCCCCTGACCGGAATCAAACCTGGGACCTTTCAGTTTGCAGACCAACGCTCTACCACTGAGCCAATCCGGTTTCGGCTAAAATCACCAATTTTTACTCATCAACACACATTCATGTTTTTGTCACTTTCTTTTATCTCTTTTCTGTATATCCCTTACTCTATTGTTGTAAGTATACATGATTTCCCCCTGCTTTTGTCTTCAACCTTTCTATCACTGCTTTTATTGTTTGCCTTTGTTGGTGAAAAATATTTTTTATATTTTTATTCATATTTTTAATCTTTACTTTTCTACTTAAAATCCCTTTAACATTCTTGTAGTATTGATTTAGTGATGATAAACTCCTGTTATTTCTTTCTTGCCTAGGAAACTCCTTTGATTCTAATTTTAGCCTTACTGGGTAGAGCAATCTTCGTTGTAAGTTTTACCTTTCATCACTTTGAATATTTCATGCCATTTCCTTCTGGCCTTCAATTTCTATGTTGGAAAATCAGCTGATTATCTTATGGGAGCTCCCTTGTCAGTAACTGTTTGCTTTTTTCTTGCTGCTTTTAAGATTCTCTGTCTTTAACTTTTGGCATTTCTATCATGTGTCTTAGAGTGGGCCTTTTTTAGTTCATCTTGCTTGGGACTCTGTATTTCCTGCACTTGTATGTTTTCTTTGTCAAGTGAGATAAGTTTTCAGTCATTACCTCTTCAAATAGGATTTCAATCCTTTTCCTCTTCTTCTTCTGGGACCCCTATTATGTGAATATTGTTACACCTGATGTCCCAAAGTTCCCTTAAACTATCTCATTTAAAAAAAATTTTTTTTTCTTTTTGCTGTCCAATTGAATGTGTTCTGCTACCTTACCTTCCTCTGCCTCATCTAGTGCAGTGTCTGCAAACTGCAGCTCGGGAGCCCCTTCCACAAAATGCCACGTGCGGGTGCGCACTTACAGTGCATTGAAACTTTGTTTTCGGCTCTCAAAAGAAATTTCAATCGTTGTACTGTTGATATTTGGCTCTTTTGACTGAGTTTGCCAACCTCTGATCTACTGTATTCTTCATTTCAGTAATTATATTCTTCTGTTCTTTTTTGTTTTCTATCTCATTTTGTTCCTATCTCTTTGTTGAGGTTCTCGGAATTCATCTATTCTCCCATAGGTCAAGAAGCATTCTTTTAACCAGTGTTTTGAACTCTATCTTACCTCCATTTTATTATTATTTTGTGTGTGTGGTGGTGATGGGGGGAGGCAAGGTTTTTTTCCCCTCATTTTGGCTGACTTCCTGTGTCTGTTTCTTTATATTAGGTAGATCTTCTACATCTCCCAGTCTTGACAGAGTAACCTTATGGCTGTGTTCTGTAGGGCTCAGAGGCAGTCTTCCTGGTCACCTAAACCAGACACTTCAGGGATGTCTCGTGTGGGTTGTGTTGGGCCTCCTCTTGTGGTTGGGCCTTGACTGTTGCTGCTGCTGGCACATCAGTGGGTAGGGTCGAGCCTCAGGCAGACCGGTTGTGGAGGCTGGCTATGACTATAGGGGGCTAGCTCTTGTGCGGGGTGACCCCATGGAGGAGGAATCCTTTTATTGGAGCTTCTGACGCCAGCCAAAGCTGCCTTCCAGCGTGTCAGCTGTGGAACTGGTTGGATGGGGCTCTGGTATAGTCTGGATCTTGGGAGGGCAAAGTCGGCTACCACTTATACCAGACTTAGGGGTTGCTTGGTATAAGCAACACAGTGATCTGTATTGATTTCCACTTATTTTAGGCTTGGAGATGCTTGAGAGAGGCTATGCTAAGAACCAAGGCTAGGTGTCATTTGTGCCAGGCTTCGGATTCTTTGGTGGGCATTGTGATGTGAGATGAGGCCAGCTGCCACTTGGCTTTTGGTTGCTTAGTTGGAGATATGTTACAGGCAAAGACTGGCTACCACTTATGCCAGGTTTCAGGTCAACTGTTGGGAGTTACTGTGCAAGTTGAGACTGGTCACCACTTGTGCTGGGCTTGGGGCCCCTTGCCAGGAGGCACAGTGCACACTGAGGTTGGCCGCTGCTTGTACAGGGTTTGTGGACCTTTGGCAAGGTCTCACAAAAGTTTCAGTACGGCATCTGCCACATGTGTGGGGCTTGTAGACATTTGAGAAAAGCTACAGCACAAGACCAGAGCACTGTGTGGTTTGCCAATTTGGGGGAAGTCCACAGCACAAGCTGGAGTGAGCTGCTTTTGTGGAGTAGCCACTGGAAAAGGCTTGGGCAAGGCAAGCAGGTTGGGGAGAAGGTCTCAGGAATCACCGGTGAAGGATGAACAGTATGACCCAGGTTAGTGGAGAGCTCAGATTTGGTGCCCACCTGTACCTGACCAGCTGGGTGGGAAGAGCTCAACAAAGGAATAGCACCTGCCAGTACTTCTAACCTCAGAGGTTCCCAGTCCCCGCCTCCGGCCACTGTCTTGGAGTATGCCAATTCAGTTTCTCCCCGTAGGTCCCTGGCGCTTTTCAAGCCGCTGCCCCTGCACCGGTGCTTAGGGGAAATGAGTCTGTGAGCACAAGTCTATGCGTGTGCCCTTTAAGAGCCGCAACTCATTCTCTAGCAGCTCTTTTTTGTGGTTTTCACAGCCAGAAATTATGGGGACTTCTTTCAGGCTGTGGTGCTGTGCAGGGCTAACTGGTACGGGAGTGGGCCCCTGGCTCCTCTGAGGGAGCCGCTGCGCCTGTTTCTCATCAGCGCAATGTGTGTGGGATTGCCAAGCCATTACCAGTCTCAACGTGGTTCTTCTTGATATCCTCAATTATAAGACTTCTGTTCAGCTAGTCTTCAAGTGGTTGTTAGTAATGACAGTTCTATGATTCAGTTGTAATTCTGAACAGAGGAGGCGGCAATCTCAGAGTCTGCCTACTCTGCCCTCTTGACCAGAAGTCTACTTCCTATTTATCAGCAGGCTCACAATTCTAGGCTGCTCGGTGCAGCTGAAATGCTCTCTCACTTTCTCACAAAGTAATGTTTGCACCTTTATTCTCAAATAATCTCATTTTCAAACCTTGTCCAGTTGACTTGCTACCTGTCGACAAGTGGAGAGAAAAGGCCTTCCGGTGCTGCTGCTCGTGGCTGCCCTGAGAGAGCTTTGAAAAGGGGCTTGCAGTTAGGAGCTGGTCAGACAGCTGAGAATGTGTTTGGAGAGGCAGGCACACAGTGGGAATAACGCAGAGGACAAAAGAGGCCACGTGGTGTCCGTTTCTGACTTATTACTCCACTCTGTTTGCTCATCAGAGGCCACTTACCTTTCCGAGATACAGAACCTAGCACAACTGAATTAACTAACAGTATTCTCAAAGCCAACCCCCACACTGTCTGCCTGACAAGCACAAACCGGGGAAACTGCAAACCTGCCATTTCCTCTGTGACAAGCAGCCAAGACCCTGGAGACGCCGGTCTCTGAGGGTCTGAGGCCCCGGCGCTGCTGCTCCAGCCCAGGAGGTCGGGCATGACAGGCCTCTCTGCGCGGCCCGCCCTCCAGCCCAGGGCTGAGGCGCAGGCAAGACAGAGGGAGAACTAGTACGAGAGAGACCGAGGATAAACCAATGAGCAGTCTCCAGGGAAATTAAATAATCACTCTTTATTGAAAATAAATAAGCCCTCTTACTTACAGGAAAATAGGAAAATAAACTTTTTGCCTCCTGGCCTCTGAGACAGAAACCACATTCATTTTGTTTATTTACAAAAGAAAGATTTGTAGATTATCAAAACTGAAATTTAGGAATTTCAATATACATTGTTTCTCTGAAAAATTACAACTAAAAGAAATCATTCATGTCAAAGGTCACAGGTTAGAAAATCGATTTTTCTTGAGGCTCATTTTAGCAAACCCTCCCGGTCTCCCCAAATCTTCCCACTGAAAGGCCACGTCTGAGAAGGGCCTCCTGCCCTCCTGCCGTGAGCTGCTCCGCGGGCTGGCCTCTCCGTGAGAGGACAGCAGCCACAAGCTCCCGTTTCCACAGCCGAACACCTGGCTCAGTGGTTGCTCTGGAGCAGCAGAGGGCTCAGTGCCTCCTCCAGGCTCTTCTGGATTCAGTGTGCTCAGAGGGCTTCCAGAAAGGTCTCCGTCAGCAAGCCCCATGCCCGCCACGGGACTTGCAGCCTTGAATACCACGAAGGCTGCTTCCCACGCCCTCTGCACTGCACTGTCCCGGTGGAAAGTGCGTTACAGATGCTGTGGAAAGTGTTAGGCCAGTGAAAAGCTAAGAAAAGGGCCACAAGTTGTTCAAACCTTCCCTCCTTACCCCAAATACAAACACAGAAAAGAACCCTTCTTATAAATTCAGGTTCATCATCTGCGAGGTTGAAGCCTCCAGCGATTCTTCCAGTTGCTGCTGGGCACACTGACTGTACGATTCCAGGTGTTTTCTCCAGATTTCCACTGGAAGGAGAGAGGGGCACCGCTGAGGAACCGCAGGGCAGTCAGCAAAGTCTCTACTAGAAAGCACGCCGCTCAGCGGCTCAGTCCCCTGCACGGCCAGCGTGGGCTCAACCCATCTCCACACCCGCCGAGGGAGCCGCATCCGCCAGCCCGGCTGTGGCTGCCTAGACAACCGCCCGCCAAGGGGACAACTCTCCTTGCAGCCACCCTGTCCGGGCCGTCTGACCGGAGGGCTGTCTGACCCTCCCTGTCCAGGCTGTCTGACCGGAGGGCTGTCTGACCCTCCCTGTCCGGGCCGTCTGACCGGAGGGCTGTCTGACCCTCCCTGTCCAGGCTGTCTGACCGGAGGGCTGTCTGACCCTCCCTGTCCGGGCCGTCTGACCGGAGGGCTGTCTGACCCTCCCTGTCCAGGCCGTCTGACCGGAGGGCTGTCTGACCCTCCCTGTCCAGGCTGTCTGACCGGAGGGCTGTCTGACCCTCCCTGTCCGGGCCGTCTGACCGGAGGGCTGTCTGACCCTCCCTGTCCAGGCCGTCTGACCGGAGGGCTGTCTGACCCTCCCTGTCCGGGCCGTCTGACCGGAGGGCCGTCTGACCCTCCCTGTCCGGGCCGTCTGACCGGAGGGCTGTCTGACCCTCCCTGTCCGGGCCGTCTGACCGGAGGGCTGTCTGACCCTCCCTGTCCAGGCTGTCTGACCGGAGGGCCGTCTGACTGGAGGGCCGTCTGACCAGAGGGCCGTCTGACCCTCCCTGTCCGGGCTGTCTGACCGGAGGGCTGTCTGACCCTCCCTGTCCAGGCCGTCTGACCGGAGGGCTGTCTGACCGGAGGGCTGTCTGACCCTCCCTGTCCAGGCTGTCGGACCGGAGGGCTGTCTGACCGGAGGGCTGTCTGAGACACTCCCTGACAAGTCCTTGCAAACCCCCGGGTCTGAGAACGCCTCTCAGACAGTGGCTTCCTCAGCCAGCGCCAGCGCCGGGACTTTTATCCAAGTCCTGGGAGACTCGGCCACTTGGCCCGGGCTCGGGCCCTCCCAGCACTCACTGTGGTGTGGCTCTTCCGTGGGAGAAGCGGGGGGGCCGCCCTTTGTGGCGCCGCTGGGGCTCTGCGCAGGCTCCTGACGCGTGGTCTCCAGCATCGCCTTGTATGCCTCCCGCGCCGCCATTGTCAGCTCAACCATCTTGTGGAACTGGTCCTTGGGCAGAAGTGAGGGCACAGATGATGCCCCTGACCACAGAAGGGATGGGTCTCCTGCAAACCTTCCACAAGAAGGGCGCCCCCCGAGGGAGAGGGCGCGGAGGCACTGTGTGGCAGCAGTGAGCCCACCCTGCCGTCTGTGCTCGTGAGGAGCGAGGCCCCTGAGGCTGCGGGCCGCTGGGCTGTCCGGGAGCAGGTGCCCGCCTGCCCCGGAGCAGCCTGCTCGCTCACCTGGGCCCCATCGTAGCTGAAGATGCCCACCACGCTGACAGGAACGGCTTTGTTCAGACTGCGACCCAGGGCCTTGCGGTTGAGAGCAAACACAAAGGGGATGTTCTGCTCGCAGGCGGAATCGATGATGGTGTGCAGCGTGTCGTCCAATCCACCTGTCGGAGGGGGCGTGGGACAGGGGAGGCGTCACCGGGCCTGCCAGGGCTTTTGCTACACTCAGCAATACTGCCAGCCCCCTCGGACCCGTCACTCTCCAAAGACCACCCCTCTGAGGAATGGATGTGTCCATGCGGAGTCAGCAGCTGCATTACATCTAATCGTCTTAGCAAACGTCATGGACCCTCACCAAGGCTGGGCCAGTGCTCCGACTGCCTCCCCTGGGGAGCGCCTGTGTCCTCACAGAAACCCCGAAGGAGAGGTTCCTGGCACCATTCCCTCTCCCCTCCCTTCGACCGGAGCACACGGGGCCAGCTCCCAGCCCGGCCGGAGCACAGCGGAGCGGGGAGGAGCAGCGCGAGCTTCCGAGGGAGACGAGGAGCTCCAGGAGGCCGGAGCCCGCAGCAGCGGTCCCGCACCCCGGGCTCACACAGGGAGCGTGCAGCTGCACTCGCGGCCCGGGCGCAAGGGGAGAGGCACGCCCCTCCAGACAGCAGCCGGGCGGGGGCGCAGGCAGGAGCGTTGCCTCGGGGAACGGCAGGCCCACAGAGCCACCTCCACAGCCATGAGTCACCTCGCAAACCCTGAGTGAGGCATCTCTGCTGCTGGGCAGGGTGACCCCCAGGTGCCCATGCCCACTCCCCATTAGCCTAAAGCTCTGAAACGCCAGCACCTACTACAAATAGGATTTTTTAAAATAAAAAGTATGAAAAATATAAACAAAATAGCATTTTGAAAAAGGAAAATACATTTTGAAAAAGCATCGCCAGGCACTGAAAGCACGCTCTGAGGCTGCAGGAGCGGGAACGGGTGCAGAGGCAGGAGAGGGCCCAGAAATGGCCCGGAGACGCAGGATCGAGCCGTGCGGTCCGCCTCGGAAAGCGCCACCTGAGACTGGCATATGTGCTGCACAGACCAAACCCACATGGAGAACAGGGAGAAACAAGTGAAACTTCATTTCCTTGGAGGCAAAGGCCGAGGACTGACATAAAATATCGATGTGATAAAAGGTAAGAATAAAAACTACTGATACACAACCCCACTGCCTGCCTGGTCAGAAAAAGGTGGGGAGAAATCAGGCTGCTGACAAACCAGAAAAACATATACCACTTTAGCCAACTTTCTTGTTACACAGAAAGGCTAACTGATCAACATCCCAAAAGAACACGAGCAGCAGTTCACAGAAGTGCCCTGCTCTTAAGCAATGAGGATACGCCACCGCCCCAGGTGGGGGCCAGGAGGGGCAGGCCCAGCCGGTGGGGCCATGGTTACACGTGCAGGCTGCACCCCAAGGCCAGCAAGGATGCACAGGGGAGAAACGACGCCCCTCCAGACAGCAGCCAGAGGGGAGCACAGGCAGCAATGGCAGACCCACAGAGCAACCGCCACAGGCTGTGGGACACCCACAGGTGCCCATGCCCTTCCGCGCTCCAGCTGGAACCTACGGAGATGGGCACAGTACAGCACGTGCGAGGCACTGACAGGTGTGAAGTCTGCACACCAGTGTGCCTTCTGCTGGAGGCCACTCCCTCTCTCCCTCCCTTCTTCCCTCCCTCCCCCCCCTCTCACATTCACACCTTTCACACACACACACACACACACACACACACACACACACACACACACAGTGCTCATACACACTTGTGGACTGTTGACCATACATATAAACATGGCAGTGGTGGCTGACTGAGGAGCTGGAGGGATTTGGAGGTTTGCTCCTCAAAAGAAAGAAATGAGATGACGAGCCCACCCCCACCCCCACCCCCACCCCCACTAGCGAGCCGAGCCGCTCTAAGCCAGCGCCTGGAAGGTCTCCCTGCTCTTGGCTCTGACAGACCCACTCCCGGACAGGGACAAGGTTCCCGCACCTCGTGCCCCGGGAACTAAGTACCTGATTTTGAATTTCCTCTCGTGCACACCCCACTCGGTGGGAACTGGAAACGCATTCTGCCCCACAGCCTCTATCCGCCCGCCTCCACTCCGATCCACCAGGAGAGCATGAGGCTGCGGAGGAAACAGCCCAGTGCCTGCCGGCAGGCCTGGGAGAGGGAGGGGCGGGTGGAGTGAGGGATGTTCCTGAGATATAATTATACCTCATCACCTCACACTGACTCCTAATATCGCCGAGTCGTCTCTCCCTCCGGGGTCTCTGCCTCCTGTGCACCCAGCCCGGGCTGGCAGGAACGCAGCGTGCTAACCCGGCCCAGTGCTGTCCGCAGGAAGCCGGCTGTGCGGCTGGACCTCGGCGGGCAACGGAGCTGGGTCTGGAGGGTACCGAGCTGACTAGTGCCTGCTGGGCCTCTGCTGCTTGAGGAACCGAGCTTTACGCTGAGACCGACTTCCTCCTGAGCTTCCCGAGCTGGCGCATGCTGGGCAGAGGGTGCCCACGTGCCCAGACCCCAGTACATACTCAGGGCGCCAAGTTTCTCCCAGCCTCCCCGGAGACAACACTTCTGTGTGCCCCCCCAGAGGCAGCCTGAGGGCTGTGCCTGGTGCCCTGGCTTCACCCACACTCCTCCCCTGTCTGACCACCTGCCTCCTTCCACTGCAGCACATCGCAGCCCGAAGACAGCGCCACGCCCTCACGTCCTGGGCGTCCTCCGCACGTCACTGAGCCACGTGGGCTTGGGGACCAGACACGCAGCCAACTGACAGCTCCACTCAAATGACCTAACGCGTGAGTGAGAGCTGCAAGCACCCACGTGCCCGCTCTCCGGGTTCCACATGGGACCGCCTCACACCGGCACAACGCTCCAACTGCGCACCATTCCCGCAGGACTGACTGCTGGGTTAAAGGCCGCCCTGAGCTTTTTTATACTGGAAAACGCAGTCCTTCTCCACACTCCACAGCTGCAATACTGAGCTTACCTCTAAAATGACCACAAGCCGTCAGTACCTTTTCCAAGAAGAAGCATTTATAGGAGGTAAAATCAAATTCCTTATGCCTCCACACAAAAAATAGAGGAACTACTACTGTGTCAGGCCAAGCTGAGCTCGGTCCTCTGGGCTACACAAGTCATTTTTATTGATTTTTTCACAGAGAGGAAGGGAGAGCGACAGATAGCCAGAAACATCGATGAGAGAGAATCATCGACCAGCTGCCTCCTGCACACCCCCTACTGGAGATGTGCCCGCAACCAATGTACATGCCCTTGACCGGAATCGAAACTGGGACCTTTCAGACTGAAGACCGACGCTCTATCCACTGAGCCAAACCGGTTTCGGCGCCATTTTTGTTTGTTTGTTTAGTTTTTTAAAGATGTAAATCCTCAGAAGAATGCGAGACAAGAGCAAAAAAATATTTGGAAGCTGAATCACAAACGCACAGCTGAGCCCGCCTACCTAACCCAACAGCAGGCGGGGAAGCCTTGGCTACAACCAGCTGGGCACTGTCCGCCGCGTGGGCACCTTCTGAACTGCTGCCAAGACGAGGACAGACCCGCCTTGCCCTCCAGTGGGGGGTGGCAGGCCGCAGGCCATCAGGCCACCCGGCCCAGGGCGGGAGGACAGGCTGGAACCTCCCTCCTGGGAGGCAGGCGGCGGGTCTTCCTGCGCAGGGCCTCCCCCACAGCGGCCGCCCTGCCAGTCAGCCGTCCTGTGGCAGAGAATACACTGAGTCCTGGAGCAGCAGCATCTCCGGGAATTCTCGGGAACTGCAAATTCGGAGACCCTCTGGGCCGAAGTAGGCAGAATCCAGCTTCCGGTTCACAGCCTTAACCCCAGCCCAGCCAAGCCCCGACGGGTCTGCTTCTGGGCAGCGGCAGACACAGCGGACAGCCAAGGAGACTTCCGGTGAGACCGAAGGGCAAACCACCCCTCCGCGGGGAGAGGAAAGCTTCGCACCCGCGAGGCACAAACCACCCGAACAAGCACAGCCCGGGTGTAACGTGGCAGGAATGAGAGCTCCCTCAGGACGCTTAGGAGAGAACCAACAGAAGTGAGAAGAAGTAACAGCAGGTCCAGCAGGCGCCCAGCACCTGAGCCCCCGGCTCCAGGCGCTGGCAGAGGACAGGGGAGGGGCATTCAGAGCGCAAAGCCCACAGCGCCAGACCTGGGGCACTAGGGCACACTGCCCCGCCTCCCAGAACCCTGGCAGGAAGTGCTCCGTCAGAGAGGAGAGGGACGGGGAACAGGGCAAGAAGCCGAAAGCCCATCTCCCAGGCGCACCCGCACACTCTCTCCACATCAGCCACGGAAGACGTGCACAGGGTGAGGGCACAGGCGGCACACGTGAGGCAAAGGGGCCAGCAGTCAATACACACCACACAGCTCTGGCCTGTGCGACTCGGCTGGCTGAGCGCCATCCCGTGCACTAGAAGGTTTGATTCCCAGTCAGGACCTGTGGGAGGCAACTGATCTGTTTCTCAAACTCATGTTTTTCTCTCTCCCTCTCCCGTCCTCTCTCTCCAAAATCAATTCAGATATTTAAATTGAAATAAATACCACACAAATTGGGGAGGGAGGGTCCCCACAACGACTGGCACAGAGCTCAGAACAATTTTAGAAAAGGAAGCCACAGAATGCCCCTGTGCGACTGGCTGAGGAGGCCCACCGCCAGCCAAGTTTGCAGCACTCAAGTGGGCAGGCCCCTGACACCCCTGCTGTCCTATTCCACCCAGCGAAGCCTGGACCCTGCCGAGCGTGGGTGGGTGGACACTGCCAGGCTGGCCCGGGGCTGCACACAAGTCAGGAACCACATTCCTCCTGATGTGAAATGGCAACTGGAAAGCTCAGTGTAGGATCTGGCCCGCCTCGCCAGGGCGCCACGAGTGGGATGTGTCATGGCGGGACGGGACGGCTGGGAAAGAGCGTGACGTCCAAGTGCAGGCACGGCCCACATGGGGCGCGTCTGCCGGCGTCCTGCTCCTGACCACCATCCCTCTACTGCAGTGTCTCCCAAGGCGTGGTGCGCATACTCCCAGGGGTACGGGAAGAGTTTGGTGGGATAGGCACTGCACCGTGCTTAGCTGCGCCTAATTCTATGGTCTCATGAGTACGAGGGATACTCGGTGTTACGAAAATTATAGAAGGGGTACATATATGTCAAAAGTTTGGGAAACACTGCTCTACTGCAAAGTCTGAGGACACAGAACGGACACACTGAGGGCCACTGGAGAGGCCACATGTGGGAGGCCACTGTCAATCACCTCACCCAGCATTTCACATCCCATACAATGGAACCAAGCTTCCGATGTCAGTAAGATGGCCAAGTGCTTGGACGAACTCAAGCCTCTTTTTACTTTTTTAATTTCAGAGAGGAAGAGAGGGAGGGGGAGAGAGCGTTGGAAACATCAGTGATGAGAGAGAATCCATGATTGGCTGCCTCCTGCAACACGCCCCCCACTAGGGATCGAGCCTGACCTCCTAGTTCATTGGTCAACGCTCAATCACTGAGCCACACCAGCCTGGCAAATCCAGACTTTTAATGAGCAAGTAGGCACAGGGGTCAGCCATGGACCAAACCAGGAATTTAAAATAGACAAGAGCCACTGCCTGCCGGGCAGTCACCAAACTGGTGTGAGTGGCCAGTGACTCCCCAAGCTCCAGAGCAAACCTTTCCTGCTTCCAGAGGCCTGCAGGGCGGCCAGTCCGCCCAGGAGGACTGCGGGCCTGGCTGCTGCAGGGTAAGGCCCATGGGGGGGCAATAAGCCCCGCAAACAAATGCCTCCAGACAGAGGACAGGAGGCCCACACACTGCCTGTGCTCACTGCCGATGGCGTGGGCCAAGCGCAGGGCACCCTACCTTTGGACTGGATCTTCTCGCAGTTGGGAGAGATGATGACGCACTTCAGCTTTCTGAGCTTCAGGTGTTTGAGCACCTCCCTCAGCCCCAGCACAAGCCGGCGTTTGGTCTTGGCCTTGACGGGATCTTTCTGGTACATCCGGTCTTGGAAACGGACCAGTTCTTTCAGCAGCTCCGTGACACAGGTGTCCACCTCCTTGCTGAGCACCTGGCTGCAGTAACTGGAAGAAACAGCCGTGCCCCAGCTTGCTGTGGCTGTGACGCTGCAGCTGCCCCGTCCATCCGCCTCTGGAGAACGCCCCTGGCAGGTCCCTCAGACGAGCGACTGAACGCGGGTTCCTGACTGACCGGGTTTCATCAAGCATCGACCCCCCCCCCCCCCCCCCCCCCCCGCCCTCACAGGGAAGAACCTCTGCACTTTCCCACACCACAGCACGCAGGGCACCCCTCACTGGCCATTCCCTGTGCGCCTCTCCTCAAACATCTGGACAGTCTGTGCTGGGAAAAAGGGGGGTGGGGAACAGAGCTCCCTAAAAAATTACACAGAGAAACCAAACGACAAAAGGGAACCCAATCCCGGACAGTGCTGCTCATTAGTTGAACTTTATCCCAGGAACCAGGTCATGGTTTGATTCCTACCAGGGTACATGCCTGGGCTGTGGGCTCGATCCCCAGTGGGGGGCATGCTAGAAGCAGCTGATCAATGAATCTCTTTCATCATTGATGTTTCTATCTCTCCCTCTCCTTTCCTCTCTTTAAAATAAATAAAAATATGTCCTTTTTAAAAAAGGGAACTCAAATGTCATGCACTCTCTCAAGGAACCGTTGTCCCAACAGAAAACGTGGATTCATGGGCGCCTCTGCCATCACATCTGTAGGACAAGAGCCCTCGTAGGAGCAGATTCAATAGCCCTGGCATGTGGCATGACCAGGTACCTGGCCACTTCCCCAGAGGGCGAGCACAGCCCACCCCAGACCCACAGGCTTACTCACTCCCTGAACCTCCGGCTGTGGATCTTGGGGCAGCTGGCACCCTCGGGAGCCAGGGAGGTCTCCGCCTCCTTATGGATCTCCGCTCCCAGCAGCTCTTCTGACTGGTTCTCCCCCGCAGGAGAGGACCACATGGAGGCTTCTGCTCCCCCCGGAGCGTCACAGAAAAGCAGGTCACAGCACAGCACCTGTGGGGCTGGGGCAGGGCGGTGTCACCAGGGCAGCCAGAGGCACCCGCATCCACCAATGCAAACAGGCAGCTGAGCGCCGCCGTCGCAGCAGCAGCGATGGGAATGGCGTGGGAAACCGGAAGTACTTGGCAACTTTCTGTTGCTCCTGCAGGTGTCTTCCTGACACCAACTTAGTTATTTTTACTGCAGCAAAATATTTATAAAACTTACCATTTTAACTATTTTAAGTGTGCAGTGGCCAAATTTACATTTTAATTTTAAAATTTAACTTGAAGTTCCTATCGGGAAATTTAAAAAGCAGGTTTTTAGTTCTGAATTTTTTGTACTTAAATGCTTGAGACTATTCCATCATCAAATAATCCTTCAATCAGAGCTCAACTCAAATATCTAGACTATGAGAGCCTCTAGGGGTGTGTCTGAACACATCAGACCGGATTCCATAATGGCCAAGGTCCCCCAAATGTTCCTTCTAGTAATTTCCAGAGTGCACAGAGGCTCCAGCTCACCAGAGAAGGAAATTGGGAGCACACATCACACCAGCCAGGATGGCAGACGCAACAAATGCTAAGTCTTGCAGTGGCCTCTCCCCGGTGGGTGGAACTGGTAGCACCTGGCAGCCTGACAGGAGCCTCCATGGCTGGCCGGCCATGGGCCCACCTGCCACCTGCCTGGGGAATGCCGCGGGAAGGAGTGCTCACGCCCTCTCACACTATCCCCACACTGCACGGGCTGCGTCCAATGGCACCGTGGCCCGCTCTACACCTGGACACTGCACAGCAGTGACAATCAGACATACTGCCAGCCAGAGGGACACCACTGCAAGGCTCCCTGGGAAGGAGCACAACCGCTCACCGGGGCTGTGGTTGGGCAGGCCCAGGTGTCATGTAATAAAAAGTTACTAAACACGCTGTCTGCATGGCACTGTGTCTCGCACATTCAGGGGGAAACGGCTTTGCAGTGAATGGGGCTAATCCTCAAAGCTACTTCAAGTCGCCAGGACCATCCAGTGCCACACAGATCGAACTTGGGGCCTCATGCCCTGCCCGCACAGACTCCAGAAGCCCACTGTCCACAGAGACAGCCTCTCACTGTCCAGCTGGGCATCTAAAAACTCCTGCGTTCTAAGTGGCGGAGGCTGGCGGAATCCTGGGGTCTGCCCCAAATGAAGATGCAACCAACAGGACTGGTACCTGTGGGCTCGCCCTGCTCCAGGGCCAGGTCGTCACCACTCTCTGTCTCTTGTGCTTCGTCACCGGCCAGAGCTGGGCTCACAGCGTTTTCCTGGAGACGCTGCTGCTTTCTCTCCTCCCGTTCTTTCAAAATGATCTTTAAAATTGAATAAACGATTAAAGCACCCAAATACTTGTACTTACAAAAAGCTCTTTTGCAAAATAAACACCCAGGGTCGGCTTATGGGCAGTGTGCCCAGCGTGCCCTCACAGCGGCCACACGCCCCGCCCAGCCAGGGGCTGGCCAGGAGCGGCACGGCCCTCCGCAGGCACACCCGCAGGCTGTGAACCTGGGCTCTGACGCAGCGCTGAGCGGACAGCACCGGCCTCAGCAAGACTCCTGTCCCCCCGGAGATGGCCACACCCCTAGGCTGATGAGAATCAAATGGAGAAACCGGTGTGGCAGCCCTGACTGAGCATCTGCCAGGAAGTGTCCAACATTCACCGAAACCCAACAGCAGATTTGCCTCAGGTGGGATGGGGGTATCAAATAAGGAGAATGTAACTCTCCCCAGTTCTCATTTTCTGTCCATGTCACTGCGAAGTACTTAAAACACGCTTCCCTCTGCCCGACTGCACAGACCCCAAAGCGGAGGCACCAGAAGCTCAGATGGTTGAGTGTTGTCCTGATCACCGGAAGGCTGCCGGGTCAACTCCCAGCTGGGGAAGTATGGAAGGCTCCTCACATACTGTCCCCTCTCCCTCCCCCCCGCCCCTCTCTCTCTCCCTCCTCCCCACTCAACCCACTCTCACCCAAAGCATGTCCTCTGTGAGAACTAGAAAAACAAAAACCAGGAACATACCGCACCCACTCCGCATGGCCACGATGCCCCTTTCACCTGGACCCTGCCACCCTGAACCCTCGGAGCTGGAGCGCACCGGGCTCTAGGGCAGTGGCCGCCCACCTCCCACACCTCCTGGACCACCGGTTGGTGCCACCGCTCGGCCGGGCTCAAGGAAGCATCACCCACCTTCTTCAGGGAGGTGGGCTTCTTGGCTCTGGGCACCTCCCTCTGCTTCCCCTTCTTCGTCAGGGGCGCGCTGGAGTCCAAGGGGTTGTGCGGGGTCTTCACCTGGTTGGCGCGGTGGCCCTTCTTCCCCGACGGGGCCTCTTTGGAGAGGACGGGAACGGCTCCGACTGCAACACAGGAGGGTGCGTGCCTCAGGCCCCCCCCTCCCCCCCCCCCCCCGCCGGCATCCCTGCAGCAAGCGGCCCCGGGGACGGCTCTGGCAACGACCGCAGTGAGACAGTGAGACAGTCCCTTTGGGCGGCCCCCCAGGAAAGTGTCCATGAACTTAGGAAGAACCGTCTTCCTTTTCCTCTAGGAAGTCTGTTTCTCAGTGAAGTATTAATGTGTGGCCTCACGTTCTGACTGCGGGCATTTCCGGTATTCTGTACATACGATGCCTCTACTTCCTACCCCTCATTCCTCCTCCCATGAAATAGCTTCTTCTGTGTATGCTTCCCTGCACTTTATAACTAGGAAAATTTCCAGCACACAGCAAAGAGGACAGAGTAACTACAATACCCATGTTCCCTCTGCCCAGCTCCAACAGCCATCAAGACTCTCCAATGTCGAATCCGAGTCACGGCACCAAAAAAAAAACCCCAAAAACAAAACCTCCCCAATGTACGTGCCCACACTCGTCAGCGTGGCATGTCAGTTACTACGCCGTGGTAACCGGGCATGTCCATGATGTCCCGGCTGCCGGGCTCCCTGCTACAGTGCGGAATGAGCCCCGGGGCCCCAGCTCTGCGCCATCTCCAGCCCTGGCCCCGGCACAGCTGCCGTGAATCTGTGGAAACTTGCTCCCAGCATTATGTTTGAAATGTATGTGTCACTGGCTTGGTTCCTGTCATCGGCTTTTCTTGAAAATGCGTCATACCGCCAAAACCAGTTTGGCTCAGTGAATAGAGCGTCAGCCTGCATACTAAAAGGTCCCAGGTTCGATTCTGGTCAAGGGCATGTACCTTGGTTGCGGGCACATCCCCAGTGGGGAGTGTGCAGGAGGCAGTTAATTGATGTTTCTCTCTCATCAATATTTCTAATTCTCTATCCCTCTCCCTTCCTCTCTGTAAAAAAAATCAATAAAAATATATTTAAAAAAAAAAAAAAAAGAAAAAAGAAAATGAGTCATACGAACCCTGCTCACGTAGGCATGCTGTCCATGCCAGTGCCACCTGTTAGTTCAGGACATCCCTTCCCCACCCACCCACCCCTCGGGCCCCTGCACTGCCAACTGCAGCCCTCCAGCCCTGCCCCTCCTCCTGTCTGCACCCTGTGCCATGCGGCTTGCCATGGTGTTAACAGGAGACCTGGGCAAGGAGGGCCCGTCCCAGTGGAAACCCAATAAAGGCTCTGGCCTAGACCCCCGGTCTCCGCGTGGCCTGCACGCTGTGTCTCCTGGCTCCAGGACCTGGGAGTAGGATAAGCTTTGCTTTTTTCTTGAGCTTCTCCCGTTTTCCTTCTGTGGCCACACCTGACTGACCATATCATCAAAAAACACATCAAGCCTCGGCTAGTTTTGCTTAGTGGTTAGGTCCATGGATTGGCCCAAAGAATCAAGGGCATGTACTTTGGTTGCAGGCTCCATCCCCAGCCCCAAGTCGGAGTGCATGCAGAATGTCTCTCTCCCTCTCCTCCCCTCTCCCTCTTCTCCCTCTCTCTCTTCCTCTCCCTCTCCCTCTCTATTTCTCTCCTTCCCTTCCCTCCTCACTCCCCTCCACTCTCTAAAAAAATTAAGAGAAAAAATAACCTAGAGTGCGGATTTAAAAGAAGAAAAAAAAAAAGACTGTGATTAAATGCACCAAGACTCCTGTAAGGAATCTTTCTTGCTTCTAAAACTTACACTGTTTCAGCCCAGCCAGTGTGGCTCACTGGTTGAGCATCGACCCATGAACCAAGAAGTCACCAAATCGAATCCTGTTCAGGCACATGTCAGGGTTGCAGGCTGGATCCCCAGTAGGGAGAGTGCAGGAGGCAGCCAATGGATGTTTCTCTCATCAAAGTTTCTATCTCTCTATCCCTCTTCTTTCCTCTCTCTCTAACATCAATAAAAACGTATTTAAAAAAAATAAATAGTAACTCTAAAGCTAAGCGGCAAGGAAGAGCTGCCTGCCCATGGGAGCAGGAAGCAGGTGTAGGACGTAAAGCAGAAACAGAATGCAACACAAGTCCTGGGCAGTGATGAGTCCTCTCAGGACTGTTACCTACCACACATGAGGGGATTTGGGAAAACGTGTCTGTGTGTGAGAAATGCGAGAGAATCAACTAGAAATATTACTCTTACAAGATAGAAGACAGGCACATGGAAACCAAGAGCTGACTTCTGCAAAGATGGTGTCACCTGGCAGTGTGCAGAGAGACTTTCTCAAAGGGCCATCCTAAGTCCAGACACCAGAAATGTTCTCAGCCAAAAACGGGTCACATGGTCACAGATACTGAGAAACAGGAGGCCTCATTCCAGGGACAAGAAGATGGCTCAACTCCCACCAAAGCACACGCAGGGACCGCACTGCAGCCTTCACTAACAGAAGATAGCTGAGGAAAGCAGTTTGAGGAAAGGCTAACGGGGCAGTGGTCTCAAGCTTCGGTATACAGCAGTCCTCTGTTAAAAGCAATGTTGCTTTTTGCAGTTTCAGTTACCTGTGGTCAACTGTGGTCCAAAAATGATAAATGGAAAATTCCAGAAATAAACAATTTGTAAGTTTTAAATTGCATGCCATTCTGAGCAGTGTGATGACATCTTGCACTGTGACTCCGTCCTGGGACGTGAATCTTCCCTTGGCCCAGTGTATGCACTCTGTATATACTACGCGTCCGCTGTCACTTAGTCACTGTCTCAGATCAACTATGGCGGTACTGCAGTGCTTGTGTTCAAGCAACCTGTATTTTGCTCAATGGCCCTGAGGTACAAGAGCGGTTTAAACTTATCCATCAGCATGCACAACATAGGGAAAAGCAGAGGGTGCTCAGGGGTCTGGTACTAACTGGTTCCAGGCATCTGCTGAGGGGAGGGCCATGGAATGTGTCTCCATGGATAAAGGGGAGCTACCATATATAAGAATTACTCAGACATGCAATGCATGAAAATGTGCATCCTGATGGGAATAAAATTACCAAAACTGTTCAGACAATGAAGAAAACTCAAACACAGACTGGATACAAGATGCTAACAAGAAATAATCATTAATATTAGATGAGAGGATAGCAGGGTGGTTCAGTTAAAAATAAAACCACTATCAGAAATGCTGACTTGGGTATTTACAGGTAAAATGACATGATGTCTATGAGTTATTTTAAAATACCTCAGGATGATCGCTAATTTACACCATACACAAAAATAAACTCAAAATGGTTAAAGGACTTAAATGTAAGATGGGAAACCATAAAAATATTAGAAGACTTCACAGGCAGCAAAATATCAGACATATGTCATAGAAATATCTTTACCAAAACAGCTCCTAGGGCAAAGGAAATTAAGTAGAAAATAAACAAGGAGAAAATAAACAAAAGGGACTACATCAAAATAAAAAGCTTCTGCACAGCAAAAGAAACCATCAACAAAACAACAAGAAAGCCCACTGCATGGGAGAATGTATTTGCCAATGTTATCAACAATAAGGGTTTAATCTCCAAAATTTACAGAGAACTCATACAATTTAACAAAAGGAAGATAAACAATCCAATAAAAAAAATGGGCAACAGACCTAAATAGACACTTTTCGAAAGAAGACATAAAGATGGTCCTGAGACATATGAAAACATGCTCAACATCACTAATCATCCGAGAAATGCAAATCAAAACAACAATGAGGTACCATCTCCCACCCGTCAGAATGGCTATCATCAACAAGTCAACAACGGACAAGTGCTGAGGAGGATGTAGAGAGAAAGGAACCCTGTGCTCTGCTGGTGGGAATGCAGACTGGTGCTTTGCTGCCTGTCCTTTTGGTGTCCGAACTAAAACTCCTTGTCTAATCCAAGAGCTTGGAAATTTACCTGTTTTCTTCTAGGAGTGTCACAATTTTAGCTCATAATTAGGTCACTGATCCATTTTGAGTTAATTTCTGTTTATGTGAAAGTCCAACTCTATTCTTATGCAGATGGAAATCCAGTTGTCCCAGAACCAGTTTTTAATGTTCTTTGTCCTTTTATTTATTTTTTTTAAATATATATTTTATTGATTTTTGTACAGAGAGGAAGGGAGAGAGATAGAGAGTTAGAAACATCAATGAGATAGAGTCATTGATCAGCTGCCTCTTGCACACCCCCTATTGGGGATATGCCCGCAACCAAGGTACATGCCCTCGACCGGAATCGAACCCGGGACCTTTCAGTCCCCAAGCCGATGCTCTATCCATTGAGCCAAAATGGTCCCGGCTCTTTGTCCTTTTAATGAACTCAGCACCCCTGTCAACAATCCACCGGCCATACATATGTGAGTGTACTTCTGGACTATCATTTCTATCCCAATGGTTTGCCTATCCTTATTCCAGTACCATACTGTTTTGTTTATAAATGACTTTTGATTACAAAAGAAAGCAGTCACAAAATAGTCTATCTGAAAAAAACTTCCAATCATTTGAGATTAAAAGACCCTTTTACCTGAAAACACCACTGGTTTGGAAGTCTGCTTTGCATTCTGAGAGTGCTGCTTCTTTTCCAGTGCTGTCAGCATTCCCCCTAAATCCAACTGTACTGGAGTTTGGCTCTTCTTTCCACTTTTAAAATTACTCTAAAAGTTAAAAAATTGGAAGTTTATGATAATACATTTTACAAGCTGTGCTTTCATCTCATGACAAAAGGATCATATAATTAAAGATAAAATGAAATAGACTTAGAGACTATAAAAATCTTAAATAAAGAGAAAAACCCAAGCAATCCCCACATTCTCTGCTAATATTACCACTGGAGTTATTTACTAGTATTTTCTCCCTCTTTTCTCATAATACTGGATTTATATTAAACCACCTACAATTATGTCTGCATCCCCCTTGTAACAGTGTACATCTACAGACAAGAAGCCAACACCTGTATAAAGTCTTTGGCTATAAAAGTTGCTGTATGGGAGGCTGACTGGTCAGTATTAGTGCCTTGTTAGCTCATTCATTCTTCAATTTCCCAAGTGAGTCAATCAGCTGCCATGAAACTATTTTACCCAGGCCAGTCAGACCCAGCAGGTTGGATGTACTCTCAGGAAATGTGCCTTCTGACACAGCTGGGCTCTGGGTTGGAGACAGTAATAAAGGCTATGCAGGCAGGTTGTGGCTCATGCTTTAGCACCTTCACTCCTGCTCTCCTGCCCACTGTTCTCTTCCGTGACACCACCACACCCCACTGGCCAAGGGCTCACATCACAACGCCAGCACTCAGTGCAGTACAGGTGTAAATCATAAGATGGTAATGCAAAGTTAATTCACACAAGGGTGTGCAATTTTTCCTTCCACAAATGTGAAAAGTTATCCCAATTTGAAAGGCAAAATGACAATGAACATGCCCAAAGTACAAAAGTTCCTCATTTAGATCATGAGTCCTGAGCTCATTCCTGATCCCACAGCGGGCCAGGAAACAAGGAGCTGCATCTCTCCCGCCTGCCTACTTAAGAGTATTCAGAAACTGGATGGCTCTGCTATTTCCTTCTGTCGGACACTACTGCCTCACAAAGGAAGTCTTGGTTCCTGAATGCACAGAATCACCATTATTTCTTTAAATCAGTCTCACAGGCAGTACGTATTTGCCTCCTTTCTGATATTGCAGTGGTAATTACCAACTCTCATTACAAAAGTGACAAAGTGTTTTAGCTGAAAAGCAGTTCTGCTTCAACATACTGAATGCCTCCAACGAATAAGAAATAAAAATAAAACTGGCCTCCACAAAGAAGTCTGGAAAGAAGTTTTGTCTCAAGAGTGAGTTTAGCAAGAGAAGGTAAGCCTAAAGCAATTGTGGCTTTCAATCTAGAATTTACCTGTGGCTGCTGCTTAGATTGACATTTCCGTGACTCTACTCTGTCTCTGTCTCTTCTTTCAGATGCAACTGCCAGAATGGGGAACTCTTCGGCATCCTAAGTAAACCACACACCCTTTAGCGCTTCATGAATCGTGAGACCCAAACACACCCAAGTGAGACCTTCTCCTTGCTCACATGTTCTACAATAAGCTCCACAGAAGGGCTCAAAGGTGAGCCCAAACAGCCCCATACCCGTATCTAAGGGCTTCAGCTTAATTTATGTGGAACCAATTTAAAGACCATCGTTCTAATCTCCTGCTTCACAGAGCAAGAGTGGGGACCCAAGGAGTCCACAGACTGCTCCTAACGACATGGTGAGTGCTCAGCCACCATCCTTCCATTACACTTTGCATCACCAGAGTCAGGGGCATGTCAGTGTCCTCTCCTGTGTGCTGCTCCCAGGCTGGAAAAGAGAGGGGCAACAGGCCTCTAAACCACACTGAACATGTCTGTGTGCTTCGTCAACATTTTAGGTGCCTTGGAGAAGTGATGTGAGAAGGGCAGAAATAGGAAATATTTATTGGCCAAACCACAATGCTGTGCCATCATCACAGTTCTTCAAACACAACCCCACCACTCCCAAGTGAATGTCCCCAGAGCCTTGGGAACCCCCAGGTGGAGGAAAAGCCTCAGCGTGACCCTCAGCTGGACACCCAGGCGGCACCGTTGGCCTCTGCAGGCCCCAGGAGCCACGCTGCTGGTGTACTAGCGCGGACCCGTGAGAAACAGGGTTCAAGCCCAGGACGCCTGGAGGACAGGGACATTCTTGGAGTACAATGTAAAGAGTGCTTTTGCAAGGCCATGACATTCTTGTGACCAGGGCCCAGGATGGCTTCCTGGTATTTTAAATTTCTCTCTCTAGTGAAGCACATCATAGTAAGATTTCTGGATAGAAAAGGAGGCATGCCAAAGTGAAGAAAAATATGTAAAGAAGATATGAGAGATACATATTCTCTATGGCGTATAAACTACTAAATTTCAACATAAGCAGTTTGTCTCTAGACTGCAATGTTTATCGAGTGCCTGCTATAGACTTTCTTCACTGGTTAAAATGAAGATGTGAAGAAAATGGATAATGGCTCTTTTTTCAGCACTAGAGGGCTATTATTGAAAAAAAAAGAAGAAGAAGAAGAAGAAGAAGATTTTCACTTAGGAAATCAGTATGAACCCACATTTCTATTAAGATGGACCCATACATCACAGAAGGGGAACAAATATGTACTTCAATCCGTGGCGGCTCTTGTGCTGTGTGGGCTTCATATTTTGAGTTAAACTTTTCTTTCTTTTTCTTAGTCTTTCTTGAGGCTTCATTTTGCTCAGAATCACCACCTTGTGATGCTTTGGACTAGAAACAACAACAAAAAAATCATGGGTTTTTAGGACATTCAATTGAATGTTTGATTCCATGTATTAGAGCAAAATTAAGTTATCAAGTTGTAAAATCACATGGCAATTTTATTCATAGTTTGCCTCTTCATTCTCTATTTTCCAAAGAGCTAGCATTCTGGAGAATAATTCAGAAGGGGGGAAAAAAAATCTGTGAAAATAGCTGTGTTCAATGTTTTGAAACTGGTAGATTTAGACAGAACCCAGTTTCAGCCCAAGGAGGCCATGTTAATAATTGGACTAATTCCGACTTGAAGTCTCTTCACAGATCCAGGTGTGCCATTTCCATTACCAGGGCCAGGGTTCCTACAACCGACTGACTGACAATCACCGGTACAGCCTTCACCTCAGAACGCCTGGCCCAGGCCAGACATCCCCAGTGTGACTGACTGAGCCTCAGGCTGGCCTTTCCCAGTCCGGACCCGTGCTGTGGTCTCACAGCACTCACTCTCACTCACACGGGCTGAGGCTAGGACTGAGCCCCCATTTCAGTTCCGGGCTCCCTCCTCTGTGTGGCCTCTCCTTCTCCCCCGTACCTGCTCCCTGACAGCTCCGCACCATCTGCACTGCACTACCCCTGTGCCTCTGAACGGGGCGTCAAGGTTTCTAGGGATCCTGTTTGATCCTCACTGGGAACTCACCTTCACAGTAAGTCTCAGAGCCATTAAAGTGCTTATCTACTGACTGGGTGGGAAGGGGAGAGGGAGCTATCTACGCTGTTTTGGAAAGTGGAAAAGGCAACTTTCAATATGAATAGAATGACCACATTTTTGTTAAGGGGGGAAAAGTTAAAAAACAAACCTATTTGTTTTCAGGACCTGAGGGGGGGTACATACAGGTCGGTAATGCAGGCTTCCCAGAGTTTGGGGGCAAAAAGAGGTATGGGAAAGATGACCGTTCCATAACTAGATCCTTTTAGCATTACACTTGTCATTTTGGTAATAAAAACTTACAACCCCGAGAGTTTTACAGGGAAAAGCCATTGTGACCCCTATCACAATGTATAATGGAAGCAATCTGCTGTGTATAATGGGAAGCAATCTAGGCTCTAAGATTACAGGGGATCGTCATTTTATGACCTTTTAAAATTGATACTTAGAAATAAAAAAAATCTGCTAACTACCTATTAGGAAAACCACTTCAGACAGCAACTTGGCAGCTGCAGCCAGAGGGGCCTGAGCAGCCAGTGCCCAGAGGCTGGGGGGCCTGGGAGCTGGTGGTGCATCAGAGGGTCCTACCTGCACCTGTTCTCAGATGAGCCCACAAAGCTGTGCAGGACAGCACACAGGTCTGTCTCGCCCTCAGGGTCACCTGCACACATTTCCTCAATCAACCAGGCACCAGCACACAGTGCCACTCGGGCAGGATGTTTGCGACACTTTGTCAACCAAGTGAATGTAAAAATGTGGACTTGAATACTGTGCTCTCAGTCCCCTAACAGGCAAAAGGAATTTGATTTAAATCCAATAAACAGCCTGGAGAAAGAATGCAGCACCGGAGCTTATATTTCTGCCAGCTTCTCTCCTTTAAACAACGCCGAATGGTTCACAGATAAGTTAGCCCACTGGCCTCAAGTGTCCTGGCTCATACACAAAGCTGCCACTTGTATTCCTTGCTGAGGCCTATTCTTTTTCAAAGTCCGAGCAATCAACTTGGTGACACCCGCAGTACAGAATGAAACACTTTCAGTCAGAATCCGAGAAACAAATCGAAGTCCAGCAGCGGTACAGGACACCCACAATTTCTGAATTGGATACATACCTTTTTAGTTGAGTGGACAATGGGTTTCTCTCTGTTGTAGGAAGGGTCCGGAGATAAAACTTGAGAAGATGATTTGCTACCATTTTTAGGATCTGCTGATGAAACAACCGTCTTTAGGTTTATCACAGAAGTAACAATTCTAGGGGCTGGTGGTGATTCTGTAGGTAACGTCTGACGGACAACATAACCCATTGGCGTCCAGGATAACTCTGCTCAGAGATAACCACAATTGGGGAACAGTCTCAACAGCAAACAGACTCCTTAGAGATTCCAAACATGCATCATTACTCAGAGCATAATTAAATTTAGGCTGTTCAAAGCATTCTCTTGGGAACAATAATATTCGCCAAACGTGTTTTCCTTGGAACATGCATGCTGAATTTACTTGTTAGGTTAACTGATCTTCCTAGAAACTGGTTTTCACTTGGGGTTGTTCAGTTAAATAACAGCAATCCTCAATTACGTCCACGTGGCAAACACACGGAATTAACAAGCTAAAGATCAAATATTCGCCCTGCTAACCTTGATGTGTATCTTTAACAGCAGAAGTCAAAGGTCACTAGACTTCAGCTATCACAATAACTGGAGATTTATTTCTTTTTAGAGCAGAGGCTTAAGCATGGCCACACTACTCCTTAGGTGCTCATGAAACTCTATATACAGACAAAACAAAAGGACAGCCATCAGGACATGGGCAAGTCATGTCAGCAGCCTGTGGCTACCCGGACGATAAGACAGACGGTTCTTGTCACCATAGAGCTACACACCCTCAGAGCAAGCAGTCTCTAAGGGACGATCTTTGTACCAAACATAGAATGCAAAAGACTACATACCTGCGGGTAAGTCAGGAATAACTTTGTAAAAATGTCTTCTGTTAGGACAAGCTACTTATAGATTTCAAGAGCAGACTCTGCTGACCTCTCTGAATACGACTTCTTGGCCAGGTCAGGACACACTGGCAGCTCTCCAATGTGGCCTCGGCTCCTGGGCCCTTGAAGTCAGAACTGCTTTCCTGGCAGGAATGTGTTAGCTGCTCTCCCCGCCCCTCCTGCCCTCCTCTCCCCTCCCGCCTCTTTTACAAAGACTGCAAAGGTAGGACAGTGAAAAAGCCAATGGCAGGGCACATCTACAGAGCCGGCCACTAGACAGTTGTAAAAAGGTAAAACAAGCCTGCTCTCACTATCTTACTCTCGTGGAAAAGTTATTTTTCATAAAAGTGCTATGTTACTTTTAAGTGAATTAGTAAGTATTTTTGAAGTTTCTCTGTTTAACTTCAAATACTGCTAATACTGACAGCTGTCTAAACCAGCAGTCACCAGCCTTCCGGACCGCACAGGCCCCCGTGGTCCGAGGACTCCAGGCCGGCGAGCGCTGGTGGGAAAAGAACTCCGTGGGGCCGGTAAAGGGTATGGAGGATCCTGACTCCAAACCCCGCGAGAACCTCTGGTGCAGGTAACCCTTAAGGAAGCTACTGTTTCTGAGTTGATAAATTTTTTCACTGAGCTGAGTAAACATTTCATTTAGAATTCTTTGCTATCTTACACTCCTTACACATTCATGGAGATCTCATTTACTTCAATCTTCTAAAAGTATTGTCAGTCTATCAACAACCTTTCACCTGCCTTAAAGAAGGCTTTTAGACAAAAGCATTTAAGTTGCACTAGGCTAAAAATGAACTTAAAAATAGACAACTGGTTTTCGAAAATGGTATTTGGTAGCCACTCTTACCTCCTGTACATGGAGCGGAATTGGTAGCAGCATTATCAGCTACAGAGTCAGTCGCCTTATTATTTTTCACCACTATTTCACCCTAAAAAGCAAACAAGTATTTTCTTACTATTTCAAATGGGAAAGTAATCATTTAATTTTTAAATACAGCTTCCTTGTCATTCTTAAAATCTCCAAAATATATGCTAATTAAAAATTCCAAATACCTAAATATATAAAGTGAAAAATTAAAATTGTTTCCTTCTGCCAAATCTCTCCCTAGCAGAAAAACCACCCACTGCTTAGCTAGCATCTCTCCACTTCTTGGCCTAGGAGATAATTTTATATAGAACCTAATAATGGGATCACATCACACATCTTATGCAACTTTTAAAAGATCAACGTATCACACACAACTTTTGCATCAGTGCAGACATGCCAATATCATTCTTAAAACTTGAGTGCCCCACAGGAATGTAAAGTATCATGTACTGAGCTACATACCCAAGTTCCAAAGTCCCTCCAAACACCCACAAAGACAAGTTCATGCTGGCAATAGGTGCCCACTTTTATAAAGATAGAAAGCTGCCACACACAGGAACATGAGGCCCCAAAAACACTGGGGGAGGGGCGGTGAGTACATCAAGAAGGTAAGAGGAAACTGACAAATTCAAATTGGAATAGTTTGAAAATAAATTCTAAAGCTGATATGCTTCATAAACTTAATCATTTTGCTATTTCATTATACCTGAATTCAGTAATAAAAATAATTAAAACACAGTATGTTCTTTTATTAAATGTAACTTATACTCACCAAGGCCAATGAAACACTAGTAGTGCCTCTCCTATTCAAAAGTGGTTAGATCATCCTGGCCGGTGTGACTCAATGGTTTGAGTGGGGATGGGGAATGTCCGGCCCCTCAGGCTCTATAAGGCCCAAGAAATCATTTGGTCTGGCCCTGTCAAGGCTTTAGGGTGAGTTAATTAAAATGTTTAACCAAATATAGCAGGCTTATTTGTAAGTTGATAATTTTATATGGCCTTCAAACAATGTCATATCCAAACAGACCCTGAGAGAAAAAAGGTTCCCCACCTCTGGGTTAGAGCACTGGCCCATGCACTGAAGGGTCATGGGTTTGAGTCATGGTCAAGGGCACGTACCTGTGTTGCAGGTTCTATCCCTGGCCCCAGTCAGAAGGAGGCAATCAATCATGAGTCATTCTCACATAGATGTGTCTGTCTGTTTGTATGTCTCTCTCCTTCCTTTCCACTCTATTTAAAATCAATGGAAAACTATCCTCCAGTGACGATTACTTTCAACAATAAAGACAATTTACAAAACAAAATAAAAAAAAAAAGAAGCTATTGGGTCCTATAGTTCATATACTAGCAATTCCAGAATTTAGCTTATTCATGATTGTGATCATATTAGTAATAATTAACATTTAAACAAAATGGTTAGGTCAATCATATATATCAATATCAAAGATCCCGTACAGCAGTTATGTTTGCAAAGAGTGAAGACATGGAAAAAATGCCAAAAGGTTTTAAAAATTTCTAGCACAAGCCCATACATATGTATGATCCCTGAATGTACAATTTTCACAATGTGCCATTAACAAAAGATTAAGTGTTAAACATGCCTTTCTCTTAGCTATACAACTTTAGACAATTACATTTTTATTCTTCATATTTTTTTGGTGTTCAAAGATACTACCAGTATAATCAGGAAAAAGGTTTCTTAAAGGGAAATTAAAAAAATAACTGCAGCCCTAGCTGGTTTAGCCCAGCAGATAGAGCCTGTGGACTGAAGGGTCCCAGGTTTGAGTCCAGTCAAGAGCACACGCCTGGGTTGTGGGCTTGATCCCCAGTGGGGGACATGCAGGAGGCAGCCAATCAATGATTCTCTCTCATTTTTGATGTTTCTATCTCTCTTTCCCTCTCCCCTCCTCTCTGAAATCAATAACAATACAGTTTAAAATAATAACAAATAAAAAAAAATAAATAACTGTCCTGGAGCAGCCAGGCCCGGAGTAGCAGCATCCAGGCCCAGAGCAGCCAGGCCCAGAGCAGCAGCATCCAGGCCCAGAGCAGCCAGGCCCAGAGCAGCAGCAGCTAAGCCCGGAGAAGCAGCAGCCAGGCCCGGAGCAGCCAGGCCCAGAGCAGCAGAAGCCAGGCCCGGAGTGTTGTGGGGTCAAACCCTGGGTTCAAAATGAAAGGAAAAAGGAGCAATGCAGCCAATTCAGGTACCAGAGTGTTATGTCTGTCATCACAATGGACTCAGAGAAGCTTCTGTGTCCCTTCACCTAAAAGAACTGAGAGTTGCCCAGATGACAGCAAAGTGGGAGAAGAAAACTGAAAGCTAAGCAAGGGACTGAGGTGCCAACATGGAGTCGTCTGAAAAAATTAAAGACTAAAGTGGAAGCTACTTCTTTAATCATGCTCCTGCTCATGCTAGCATCTGTTAGCTTCCAGTCTTCTGCAAAGTCTTATGCAGCAAGTCCAAGGACTCTGAGTAAATCTACACCAGCAACAAAAGACACTCAGTTAGTAGCTAAAAAATATTAATATGTCCATAATTCTGATTTCTCACGCTCATTTCTCATTTTGTTGTTTTGCATTGGCATTGTTATTATTAAATAGCCAGAGTTTTGCTCTTGACATTCAAGTTTTGAAAATAACATGTATGTGGTTTAGTTTTTGAGAAAAAAATAATAATAAAATAAAAATAAAAATAAAACAAATAGCACACAAAACTCAGGAGTGTGAATAGATAATAAGGTAACAAGCATGCAAATCTCACACACTTCATGTCCAAACGTGCAGCACTCTCCTCTAACAGGTGACCGTGCCATAGAGTCAGTCATGCTCCTGGCCTCTTGTACTTTGCACAGCGCTCTCGGGCTGGGAATTACCCACTGCAGCCCTGGCCAAAGGTGGACCTGACTGCTCAGCCATCCCACACACTCCACTGGCGCCCAGAGGTCACACACCGGCCACTTCACTCAGCCTTACCAGCTGACAGGCAAGTCCCTGGGAAGGCATACCCTCTGCACGGTCAGCAGCATCACCCAGCCTGGGGCTTTCGTGTCCAAGCACCCAGGACGAGGACAGACAGTGGAAATCCTCTATCAGGAGGTAAGCCATCGGGTAAGCTGTTTTCTGGGACTTTCGTCTTTCTCCTTGCCCTCACACTGGGAAGTGCCCCCATATCTTCCTTGATCAGAAATTGGTCAGAATAATTTTAGGGGATAGTAACACCATAATGTTTTTCCTGAAAGTCTCTAACACTTTGAGATCAGAGGGTGAGTATGTGTAATTTAAAATTATTAAGTGGCAAACTGAATGCTCTTCACTGCAGTTACTATCACTGAATTCGCTGTATCATTAACTAAAGAGGTACAGATAAAAAGCCCAGAAAACCAGAAATTACACTATGTAGTTTTAAATACCACTATTTGGGTAAATAAAGTCTTTCTGTCTGTACTGAAAAGGTGCTGTCAGCACACAATGCTACAAGTGAATGCTAGAAGGGGGCTGTGCCACCAGCAGGATGCATGCTAGACTCTCCTCCTGGACCTCTTACCTACCAGGTGAAAGTGAGTGTAGCAGGTGCTTTTCGTAAAGAATGGCGGCATGAGGTGTCCCCGTGTCACCACAAACAGGTCACACACAAAAGGGGAAGGCGGAAGCAAGCAAAGGAGCTGCACTCACCTCTAACCCCGGAGCGGGTGTTGCCACTTCTCCCCCGAGGGGGGTGTCTGTGGAGGCGGGGCGCAGGGGCCCCCACTTGGGCTGTTTTGGTGTCTCTAGTATCTCCCTGTTCTCTGCCCCCTGCAGTTTAGGAAAATCCAACCCGGTAAATTCAAACTCAGGTTTGGAGGCAGGTCCACACTTTTCAATGGTTCTGGATTTCCTGTCTGTTCGTTTATGATAACCATCTGTATTTACAAATTAAAAGGAGGGAAATTTTAGATGTTTGATGACCGTACTCAGGCTTAAATTGCAGAACAGAAAATCAATTGCTATTGATGCAGCTTGTTATTGTCCAAACAGACTAACTTTTGCTAGTGCTGTTAACCTTCTGTGTTACAGTATAAACGCACATGGCCATCAGTACAATTGCTTTGGTTAGGCCACCAAGCAGAAAAATCAAAACACTACAAATTTTAGGAGTAATTCTAAGGTTGATGAGATAGTTACCTTGGCCTGATTGTACATCTAGGCATTTTGATAAATCTTAATACACATTTTAGAGTTTTGAAAATTTAAAGAAACACTAACAAATTTCCTTTAAGTAATAAATGGTCCTATTTTAGTTTGCTAGAACAAACTGGAGAGAAGTAGAATTGAACTTATAACCTCTGTCCTATCTTTCTCCTACAAATGCAAATAGATGACAATGCAGGTTGCAATGCCATAATATCTCTATGTTTAATTATAAGGCCAGAGGCCCAGAGCGGCCGGGCCCGGAGCAGCCAGGTCGGGTGCGGCCAGGCCCGGAGCAGCGGCTGCCAGGCTGGGAGCGGCCAGGCCCAGAGCAGCCGGGTCGGGTGCGGCCAGGCCCGGACAGCAGCTGCCAGGCTGGGAGCGGCCAGGCCCGGAGCAGCCGGGTCGGGTGCGGCCAGGCCTGGAGCAGCAGCTGCCAGGCTGGGAGCGGCCAGGCCCGGAGCGGCCGGGTCCGGAGCAGCCGGGCCCAGAGCAGCCAGGTTGGGTGTGGCCAGGCCCGGAGCAGCAGCAGCCAAGCCCGGAGCAACCAAGTCAGGAGCGGCAGTGGCCAGACCTGGAGCAGCTGGTTGTGGAACGGACCAGAGCAACAGAGGTCAGGCTCGGAGCAGCCAGGCCCGGAACAGCTCACTCCTTGCCTGCCCCCGCCCCAAGGCTGCCTTTCAGACATGGCTGGAAATTTTTGGGGGAACTTGAGGGTCTGCTGAATCAAGTGATGAAGGCTTAGATCTGGATGTGTTGAGTTAGTATAGGGCTGGGGTGTTGATCTGTGAGTGCCTTGGGTGGGGCCTGGATGAGGCTAGTTGACCTATTTGGAAATGTCTTTTGTGTGAAGTGTATCTTTGGGCATGTGGAGGTATTATTAATATGAGAAAATGCTAAGTAACTGATTTACTATCTGAAAAAGGATTTACTATCGGGGAAAGGGAGGGAGGAAGAGACTGAACATAAACTGTGCACCTATGGATGAGGACAATGGAGGAGGGGAAGGGGGCGGAGGGTGGAGTGGGAACCTGGTGGAGGGGGGAAGAAATGAGGAACCTTTGTAACAATATGAACAATAAAGATCGATTTAAAAAAAGTTAAAAAATAAAATAAAAAATAAAAAATAAATAAATAAAAAAACAAAGTTCCAATGCCAAAAAATAAATAAAATAAAAATAATAATTATTATAAGGCCAGACTCATATAGTTAATTGCTCAACTTTCCTTTCACTTTTCCATGTACCAGACAGTTCATAAGTAAAATCAATGCGAAGAGAAAAATGTATACACCAAGTAACCTAAGTGGCACCTGTGCATAAACGACAGACCTTTCCCAGTAAGTACACCAGTAGGAAGGGCTAAGTCCTTATATAAACGGGATGGCTGTAATCAAACTACATTTGGAATTAAATTTCAGGGGGAAAAACACCATGTTGAATCACTAACTTTTTCAGCCACAAACCAGAATGGTAGTTTTTTAAGACAGATCAGACAAAACTGTAACAAAAGCAGTACTCTGAGCAAACACACTGCCTGGGATGGGAGTCAGACAGAGCAGCAATCCTAGACCAACTGTCCCATCTACTGAGAACTCCTCCCACAAACACCAGAGCTGTGTTAGAAATGAACGGGGCCGAGCCTAGGTCAAGGGATGTCGCTGTGATCTGCTTTTAAGAACGTGGTTTGAGGTGTGTGGGCGTTACCTACTTGTTATGTAACCTTAGACAAGTTCTTGTGTAAAACAAGGTAATAACATGTTAAGGGCATGTCAGAGCCCACATGCAACAGGTCCCCATTTCGGGCGGAAAGGCCTCCAGGATCCCACAGGAAGTCCCAGCTTTTCCCAATAAGCCCAAAGAACAGCCATAGCAATGCCCCTGGGGTGGGTAGAGTGGGTTGACCTAACACAAAACACAGAGTTCGTTACTTTTACCTGATTTCAAATTAGAGTCAGCACGAAAGGACAAATAGTGTGGGCCTCTCACTGACTTTACATCAGATGATACACTTCCATCAGCCTTTTTACCGGCAAACTTTTGCTCATCATATGTTTTTTTCTGCGGGAAACATAAAAAAGTAACATGAATTAGGAAAACTACAGTTGGCCCTGGAATGACCACCCTCCAAACAATAGATAATCTGTGTATAACTTCTGACCCTCCAAACTTAGTCTATTGTTGACCAGAAGCTTTTCTGATAATATAAAGTCAATTAACACATATGTTGTATTTCAAATCTATTATATCCTATATTTCTGTAATTAAGTGCGCAAAAGGAAAAAATATGTTAAGAAAATAATAGGGTTTGCCTGCATGTTTTTTCAAAGGGTCACAAATCTCCTAAAATTTTTCTAATACATTTATTGAAAAAATCCACATATAAGTGTGTTGTTCAAGGAGTAAGTGTATCACTACAAAACAGGTTTGGCCCAGCCAGCATGGCTCAGTGGTTAAGAGTCAACCTATGAACCAGGAGGTCACGGTTCCATTCCCGGTCAGATTGCAGACTCGATCCCCAGGGTGGGGCGTGCAGGAGACAGTCAATGTCCTTTCTTATCACTGATGTTTCTCTCTCCCCTCCTCCCTGAAATCAATAAAAATATATTTAAAAAATAAAAACTAACACAGGTTTAACATTGCAAATATTTGTAAATATTCACAACTCAACCATTTTTTAAAAGGTTAGATCAAATAAATTTTTAAATACCACAAAAAAAGGTAAACAATGCTTAAGTTAATGCAAAAATTGACCAATTCTTTTCATTTTAAATGCTAAAGTGACCAAAACCACACACTTACTGACCTTAAACAGAGCTTTCATGTCTTGTGAGAGAGGGCTCACATGCTCACACCGTGGCTTCTTCTGGAAACCTTGGTAACGACTGGGTCGGCTGTAATCATACTGGGAGCCAGGCACCCGGCAAATATTGTGTGCAGACTCCAGGGTGTAAGGAGAAGGGGTGTATGGGTGAAGAGCCATCTCGGAAGGTAAATACTGATGTGGAAATGTTGAAGCTCTAAAGGCCATATTTTCAGGATAGAGTGTCTGCCTAAATAAAAAGGGTAAATTTTAGTTACAGATTTCATACCACATATCAGAGTTTAATATTTTATAATAAAATGGTTTCAACTTTTCTTACTTTTGAGGCCATTCACTCTATGTTGACATGACTCTAATTGAAAGCTAAATGAAACCTCTGAGCCTTTCTTTCTTAACCTGCAAAGACAGAGGCTGACCTAGTTTTAGTTTTTCCTACTGAGCTGGAACATCCTCAACAGGAGCCTGAAGATGCCCAGTAGCTTTTCATTCTCAAGATGTTAAATATTCGGGAAAGACTCTGTGACCCTGGCCAAAGGCCATCCAGACTGTCCTCTCTACCAGGCTCCCACAGACCAAATCTAACCTCCACCCGTTGCCTGCAGGGCCTCCTCCTGGGCCTCCTCCTGGGCCTCCAGGTGCTGCAGACGTCCTACTGCAGCGCTCTGCGGCTCCAAGCCCACCACTGCTCCCGGCCTGCAGAGCCAAGGCTGCAAGAGGGACGCTGTGGGAATTACAGACCCTGCTGACCAGATGGACACCATCTGTGAACACTGCCAGGACTTCAATTTGCTTGAGGTGCTCAACTAAACCAAAATACAATGGAACAGTGATTTTATTTATTTATTTATTTTTTAGCAAATATGGCCAGAGGATTCAACCATTTTGAAGAAAGCTGATACACTGACAAAATGCTAAAGAGCTGAGTTAAAACACACATTATATCCTTTCCATTCTCACAAATAAACACTAGATGTTTCTTGTAGTAAATCAATGAAATCCCAAAGTGTGCTGGTCCAATGAAGGGCACGAGAAGCTGAAGCTAGTAATGGGACACTCGACCTGATCTTCCCACTGTGCGATGGTCAGAGCACATGGGCCCAGTACCAAACCCTTACTAGAAGCCCTCGTTCTACTCTCAGGACCCGCACGGAAGCAGGAAGGGAGCCAGTCTACATGGGCTGGAAGACACCCGTGAGGACGGGCACTGCTCTCGTTCCGTGCAGTCCTTAGTCACCGGCTGCTTGGTATCACGGCCATCCTCCTTCCTACACAATAAGGAGCTAATATGCTACTGAGACCAAACAGCAGAATGACCGTCCGGACAACCTTCCAGATGACGAAGCTGGCGCTGGGAGGGCTGAGCCCCTTGCACGAATTTCGTGCACTGGGCTTCTAGTTAATTCATAGTTTTAGGTGAGATCTTGTATTTTACTCATTGCCAATTTATTCTAGTAATGAAGCACTCCTAAATAAAAACCAAACACAGCCGGCCTTTGTCTGCCCCCAGACCACTGGCTGGTGCTCCCCCTTGAAGAGGGAGACCAAAAGCTGTGTCCCATTCCTCAGACACTCCCCCTAGATGTGACTCCCATTTTATTTTGTTTGATGCTCAGAAAATCTAATGGGGGTCAGAAGAAGGTGGGCAAAGAAGTTGGGTTGATAGGGAAAAAGTAACAAAGACTATCCCAAGCCCAAAATCTGGACAAATGAACAGATCAATGAAATTTAGGTCAAGAAAAGGCGGGTAGATCCAATGGTGGATTTGTTTAAGAAAGACAGAAACACCGACTTTTGTTCCACTTCTTCATGCATTCATTGGTTGATTCTCGCATGTGCCCGGACTGGGGATCAAACCCGCGAAGACATTGGCTTATCAGAACAATGGTCTGCTTGGCCAGAGCCCCGGGGCTGGTTTTGAAGGCTGTTATACAGAAAGTTTTCACCTTTGAGTTTGTAGGCCTTGGTTTGTGTCCCGGCTCTATCACAACCTAGTTTTCTCCTTTGAACATCTCATCACTGGTCCTTCTTCCTCTGGAAAGATGATATTTTTCTTTCCACCCAAGGTAAATACAGTTATTGCAGAGAACAATACCAAACACAAAATCTCAGAAACAACTCATAGCATCTGTTGGGATTTCAAATAAAATTTACGTGCTTCCTGTAAAATTCCAGTTGCCACAAACGGCCCAGATGAGCCTTAACTATAATGACGCCATCTCCTGTACACCCACCTTCTCATTCTGCACCCCCTAGATATCAGCAGCCCTTGTGTTTATGCAATACCTGCTGATCCTCAGCTCCACTTCTCCTTGCCCCATCCCTACCAACGATCCTGAGTCTCCGGGACTTACTTCCTGCCACGCTGCCACTGCTTCTGCATGACATGGGCTAGGAAAGCTCCTCTGGCCCCGCCTGGCAAATCCTGCCCTCTTCGTGCTCCCCCACCTCCTAAGGCTCCTCTATGGCATGGCTTCCCCTGCACTCTCCCTACTCTGCCAGACTCACTGAGTCCAAACCTCCCATCATTCTGCTCAGGATTTGCATCCTTTCCACTTACTAGTTCACTTCCCCCCATCTGGCACATATAAACCCAACCTTAACTGGTCCCCGAACCAGCCCCACTTCCAACTTGTGTTCTCATGACCGATCCCACAGTCTTTTCTGGTATCCACTGGACACTGCCATCCACCTCCCAGCAGCCCCTACGGAACTCTCCCTTCTCCCAGTGGTCTCCGTGCATTTTCTGTTTCCGGTGCCTAGAACCCAGTCAGTCTGCAAGCCCCTCTCCTTTAAAGTCAAACCAGAATCCAGGAGTGAACCCCAAAGCTCCCCATTTCATACTCACCAAACCTAAACTTTAGCTGTACTATGAAGGCTTTTATTTATTTTAAAATGTTTTCTTCTTCTTTTTTTTTTTTTTTTAAAGAAAGGGAGAGTGAGTGAGAGAAACATCAATTGGATGCCTCCTGCATTCACCCCAACTAGGAATCGAGCCCACAACCTGGGCATGTGTCCTGACCAGGAATCCATCTGACAACCTTTTGGTGCACAGGACAATGCTCCACCAACTGAGCCACACTGGCCAAGGCACTAATTGCCTAATGGTGCCCTCTTAACAAAAGAACACACTCCTCTACTGTCTTCCCAGCACATCTTTGACCTGGTCCCTTCCGTCAGGCCAGCTCGTCAGGGATCCAGCCACCCCCCCGCCGCCAAACGGATCTGGGCCACGCTGGCAGGTTCAACACAGAAGCGTCCACTTGTGCATTGTGACCCTGCACAGTGTACTGCAAGATGCTGGAAATGCTCAAAAACATCTTGCCAACAGCAACAGCAGCCTTGAAGAATACAACTGAGCGCAGTGCTGACTCTGATTCTGGGGCGCCCTACCTGAAAAGCCTGAGACAAGCAATTCCAGCCTCAGTCTCCCGTGTAAAAGTAACACACCTCCCTGTCAGCCTCACGGATGTGACAAGCATGAAACCCACACACACTTACAATACTTAAACAAATACAACAGAGAACTTATTTTGTCTGCATAGCCTCTATTTGTTCATTATGCCATAAATACTTAGTACTTTCCAAATGGGATTCTATATACCAGAATACTTCTACTTATATTTGTCTAGTCTATAATATAAATTTAGAGAATATTAGTACATTTTCTTTCATTTCTACCAGTTCAAGTCTATAAAAAAATGGACAAAGAGTACAGCTCATGAGGTAGTACTTTCCCTTTTAGCAGCTAGCATTTTCCATATTGCCTTGCAATAATTAACTCTAACTGAATAAATGAAGTCCCTTGGAGTGCACAGTTAGACCCGGGAGTAGACAAAGTCTGTGAAAGGTCACTGCCCTGCTTTAAGGGGACGGACAGACTTAGATGGTAATAGTGGAACTCATAGGAATGTCTGTTATGGAAAAGGCTAGTACTCCTTTTCCTGGCCACAAGGTGTCTCCATTTAAACAAAATCTGACTAGAGCAATGCACTTCTTAACCGACAACAGAACTGACTAGATAATCCCTACTCAAGTGCTTCGAGTCTTCCCTCTCACCCACTGTAACATCTCTTTTTTCTAACCGTGCCCCTTTGACTTCATGACTCCATTGTCCGTTTTCTTGCAAGTCAGGAATATTGTCAGTCAATCTTTTCCTTGGTTATAAACAATTAAAAAATAAAATCAAAGCTTAAAAGGATAAGGGGTTAAGAAACATAATTTTTAAATTAAGTACTACGCAACCTTAAGCCTCTGATTGGTCACATTCAAGTTGTCAGGACAAGACGTTGCTTTAGATGTTTTCCACCTTTATTTTGAGTTACTAAAATCCCACCCAGCAGATGGCTTAGAGGCCTGGTCACTGAGAGGCACTTTGTATGTTATTATGTGAAGCAACCAAGGTAGGGAACAACTCAAAAGAGGCCTGTGACAACATCCCTTTGACAAACAGTGCGATTACAGTGGAAAACGTGGGCATTCCTACCACAGACCTTCATCACATACAGGCAGGTCTTCAACTTTTGTCAAAAAAACCACCCACAACTTTCGCCAGGCAGGTGTGGCTCAGTGGTTGAGCATCGACCTATGAACCAGAGGTCATGGTTCAAGATTCCTGGTCAGAGCACATGCCCTGGTTTCAGGTTAGATTCCCAGTAGGGGGTGTACAGGAGGCAGTTGATCAATGATTCTCTCTACTCATTGATGTTTCTCTCTCCCTCCCTCTCCTTTCCTCTAAAATCAATAAAAGTGCATTTAAAAATTTACCCAAAATATCTGAGTAAAAAGAAAGAAAAGGAGAGTCAAAACTTCAATTTCTGCTGCAGGACACACTTAAGTTGTGCTACCGGCTTAGACCCTTCTTGGTGAAGGAGCATCTTCTCTGTGTTAGCTACAGCATGTTCTTAAAGCTATTCACCATTAAAGCCTAGAAACGAAATCCTCAGGTAAGGCACGATGTGTGAGAATACATACTCAGGCACTGGCAGTTCCTGAACACAAGGATAGTACGCGGCTGCACAGCTAGGGAACATGGATGCTTCTGAAGACTCTAACCATGCCACAGCAAATTTAGGGACAAATGGTTTGACATCTGCTGACAACTTGATGCCCTGAGGGGGAAAAAGGAGGTTATAGCTACATATATTATGAGATCAACCAAATGTAAACAAACAAAAAACCCAGAGTGGCTCCTTTCTAGCAGCTGCTGGAAATAAGTGCTAATCTCAGAGCTGTTCAAATAACTCTGCCTTATAAGAAAGGTAAGCATTTGCTAACAATGTCTCCCCCAATGCTTTTTTTAAAGAGAATACTTATTGTTTAAATCCTCACCCAAGGATATGCTTATTGATTTTAGAGGGGAAAGAAGGCAGGGAAGATGAGAGGGAAAGAGAACATGGATCAGCTGCACCACCTCCTCTCCCCCCACCACAAGGACCAAACCTGCAACCCTTCGGTATGCAGGGTGATACTCCCAGCCAGGGCCCCACTGCTTTTAACTGGAAAAGTCAGTCTACCAAGTATTAAAAGTGAAAAATAAGGACACCAATTAAAGTGGAAGTAAAATTCAACCCAGATTCTACAGTAGGACTCCAACGGATGTTTCCTTAGCTTAAACTCGAGGGGCATTGTACCTCTTTCAGCTGTCCTAGGTAACATACCCACAGAGTGCTTACCTGGAGCACCCAAAACACATTGCGAATTTATTTCCATTGAATCTCTCAAATGGAATCTCTCAAAACCATTTGTTTTGTTTTGTTTTGTTTTGTTGAAAAGCAAAGGGAATTCCGCTAGAAAACCGATCAGCAGTGGAACATGAGATAAGACACATGAGCTTTGGGTTCAGACACGTATTAGGAGGTTCATTTCCACTGACAACTCCTAAGCGCGGGTGCGATCGGTCTGAGCGCCGATCCACGCCGGCTCCAGCGAGCGGCCCGCTGCGACCCCGAGCGGAGACTCCGCTTCCGGCGCCGGAGCGAGAGCTTCAAAGCGCCTCCCGCCCGGCGGCGGCAGGCTCCCTCCGCGGCCGCGCCCGGAACTCCGCGGCTCCCTCGGCGCCGGTCGGCGGGCGGCGGGGGCGGGGGCCGGCCGCCGCCCTGCGTCCCGCGGCCCCACCTCTCCGGGCCGCCCGGCCGCCGTCCTCACCTCGCCCGCGGGCTCCCGCGGCCCCTCCGACGCCATGGCCCCGGCTCGGAGGCGGCCCGGCCCCGGAGGCCAGCAGCCGCCCCGTCGGCTGGCCGGCAGGAGCTGCGGCTCGCCCACCCTCTCCCACTTCCGGGCGGACGCCGGGAAGTGCGTCACAGAAACGCGCCCGGCAAGCCCGCTTCCGGCGGCTCTGCTCTCGGCGGAGGGGGCTGTCCCCGCGGGGAGGGGGAGCGCGGGATGCGCTGGGGCGAGAGCCGCTGGGAGCCCACGCGGGGCGGGGGCGCCGGGAGCGGGCGGGCGTGAGGCTGGGGAAGCGGGGAAGTGCCTTCCCGCTGCCCGGTGTCCCAGACCCCGGGAACGGAACGCACTGGGGAGGTAACCACAGACTAAACGCTGCGCCGTTCTTCCCAACAGCTGGGTACTGGCTGTTAGGAAAGGTGCTGGGGAAGGCGGAGGCGGAGTAGCCATCTGGTTTCAAGTAGTCATCTGGAACAGTGCCACCAGAGGGACGCCGGCCTGGGCACGCGGAGGAAGCTGCATTAACTGCATTAGATTTAAGGCTTGCTGACAGTGCAGGCTATTTCACCCGTAGGGGTTGATTAGGTTCAAAGTCATAGGCTGGAGGTTAATTCTAGGAAACCTGTGTCTTGCAGTGAGAAGGGTTGAGTGACTACCAAGCAGGAAAAATGCAGGTAGCTCGTTCTTAAGGTTTTCTTATGCGTGGGCCCCCAGGTTACACACACCCAGAACTCCAGCGTCTGGAGAGGCCTGGGATTTGGCCATAGTAATCAATGGCGGGGGCTGGTAACTTCTCCCTCCCTCCCTCCGTGTTCTTTGGTCTGCCCTAAACGCAGTGCTTGCTTAGCAATTCAGGCATCTTTCCGTTGGCTTGCTGTGGAGACCCAGTTTAGAAGTGCACCGGATGATCAAGGCCATTCTGAGCCTGGGACCTGTAATCAGAAGGTTCAAGGCTGAGATACCATACTCAGGTCCAAGGACTATGTGCAGGTGCACAGCAAGTACAACTGGGGTCACTGCACTTATATAACCCACGTGACTGATGTTGTGAAAGAAAAGAGCCACAAGCTAACCTGACAAGCTCAGGGAAGGCCTGCGTGGCAGTCTTGCAAACCCAGAGACCTAAGATAACCACAAAGGATGGTTTGAAAATTAAATATCTAGCAGGTTATAGTAGGTAGTCATGTCCCAGATATTTTCCCAAAGATCAACTTTGATCTTTTTACTGAGCCCACTTGCCTTTTTGCCTCTAAGATAACATATCTGTGAGAGGTCTGAGTAACTTGTAACTTCCCTTTTTCCGGAGCCCCTGGGGAGCAACCAAATGTGGTGGGTGCCAGGACAGATGCCTCAAATTCCTTGATTATCATGTTAATTGCTCCTGCACTCACCTGAGTACACCTCCATTTTACTTTTTATCCAATCCCAGGGGTTTCCCAGTCTTGCTTTCTCCCGCCTCCTTACTCCATCACCAATGAATTTCATGTAACCCACCTGTGTCCCTCGTTTGATTTCAGTGTATAAATAGAGAAATGTAACCCGCCATTCTTCGGAGCATTGTCTCGGTCCGTTGAAGTTCTGCTTCCCGGCATATGTGACAGTAAGACTCAAATAAACTCACAAAAAAATTCTTTATAGGTTTCAATGTGTTGTTTTTGTTTTTTTTTCCGTTAACAATGTCATTGTTGGCAACTGGCCTTCCTCTAGAGTTTAACGCGTCACTGACCAGTCAGTATGCTAGAAACAGTGGGCACAGGGAATGCAGCTACCAGAGAAAAGCTGCTGGTCCAGAGGCTGAAGCAGCTGCCAAGGCAGGCAGCTCAGAGGCGGCGAGTCTAGAGACGGCATGTGGCTCTCCACTACAGCTGTAGGTACAGAGGCTGTTAGAGGCGCCACTGTTTTGTGGGAAATCTGTATTTACTAGCTGGTCTGAAGCTACTTGTACAGGACTTAATAGAAATAACCATTTTGTCTGATGGCTATATGGCCACTAACTCCTACAATACACTCCCTCTTTTATACCTACAACTTCTCATGGCTTCTAAGACCCAGCGGAGGGGCTCAAAACTGACACCTGTAACTAGTAAGCAGGAGATAAAGGAGGAACTTGGACTAGAGTTCCTAACAGTTAGTGTAGCGAATAGGGTTTGAGAAGGGACCTACCTGGTGTATTTGGGAAGAATTTAGAATGGACCCAGGGACCCAGAGCTCTGGCTGTTTCTGAAGCTTATATTTACCATGGCTCATTTAAAGGGATTCTTCAGCATACCAATGAAGAGAGACTGCATTAACTTTAAGTTATTTCCCAAGCAGCTAAAAAGCAATTTACAGTCACAGAATACATATGTAATGGAGGCTGTATTTTTTTTAAGGGTGCTTTTTAATTTTTAAAAATGCTGACATTTGGCCACTAGATGTGGCAGTTCTTACATAAGTGGAAGCAGCCCAGAGTATTAAGTTGGACTTCTTTCTGTTCAAGTGAAGATTCTAGACAATTCTCTGTGAACTAGAATAATAATAGAACTATAAAATCTACTTTAGATCTAATAAGTTTATCCCTAGTTCTTGGTTTCTTCACTAGTAAACTACATGGTACCCTCATCACCAAGCTGTTTTAAACCCATTTAAGTAAATTTATTTGCTCAGGACTAAAACTGTAAAACTGAAATCATCAACCTCTACTCATGAATTAATTTTAAAATAAAGTTCAATAACTTCAGTGATAAATGCAACATACAAACTTTATTAAACAAAAGTAACAGGTAAAGTCAAACAGGCACTTATATTTAAGAGAAAAATTAACTAGGAGAAATTTTATCTTAAAACACCCTACAGTAACCTACTTGTAGTTGCATTTAACTGAGCTCTGTTGCTGTGAAGAATACAGCTCATGCACAGGTATGGATGAATGATTTGTACATTTTCAAGTATTCACTGAATACTACTTATATACACATATACATTAAATTTGAAAAAGATTTAATTAACGATCCCCAATATCTTCATTTTTGTTGATCTTTTGGAAGAGGTCGTCGAAAGAGAAGAATATGTGGTTCTGTGGAAAGAGAAATATTTTATATCATTTTAATATAAATGGTTAACTTTCACTCAAAAGAATTCTCAACTGAACCAAAAATAAAGTAAAATAAACCTATGGTCAATGTTACTTATTGAGGTAGCTGAAATGAATTTTGCTTCAAAGTCACTGTCAACAGTAAACATAATAAAACCTGACAATGAGATATTTCCCCGGTGTTGACTCACCTTGGAGAAAAGGGATGGTAAATAGAGAAACTACAATACTTTGAGATAAATTTCTAGCTTTGGAATCTCAATTACAGTGAAAAATAAAGAGAAAAGTTATCTGTGGGGCAAAGACGCCTAACACCTCATTCAAAAACCACCAGCTTTTAAACCTGCAGGTCCCATAGATCCCATTAAGTTCCTCGATTGCTTTTGCATTACCTGGAGAAACACCTCCTGAACTCTAATATGATTACATGCGCTAATACCAAGAGAGTTGGAGTTGTGTATCATAATTTTTAAAAAAAGTTTTATGTGTTTTAAGTTTGTGCCACTGCTGCTGCTGCTTTAATAAGAGTGGAAAACTCTTAAGATAGCCTTAATAGCAGTTCTGCAGCATGCCTTCATATTCTGTTCAAAGCATTATAAATTCTTGAAGATTTATTGATAACCCATAAGTAGGATATAACCCCACAAAGGTTTAGTTTAGTACAGGGGTTCCCAATCTTTTTTTGGTCATGCCCCACCTAAACATGTCTAAAATCCTGATTTCCCCCCTGACAAGCATTCATAAATTTGATTTCACTGGCTTTATCATCTTATTGAATCTTAAAATATTATTAACAATGACACAAATCTATATAAAAAGCCAGCAACCAGAACACCGATTGCTATAAAGCCCACTGCAGCCAGTGAACTGCCAATGGGTGGGTGGAGCTGGCCAACCTCCTGCCAGCCAGCCCCACCCCTAATCACCCCTCTAAATCAATAGGGGGCAGAGCCACCCAATCAACTGAGGCCCCTTCCCCAGCTGCTGCACCTACCACATTTGGGATGGGGGTAGGCCACCTGGTCAGCTGTCTCCTCCTCCATACAGGCTAGGCCCCAATCCACCCCAATTAGGGCCAGGCCTGTAGGACCCCACCCACGCACAAATTCATGTACCAGCCTCTAGTTTAAAACAGAATAACTTATATTTTGACTCAAGTTATATTTTGCAGGAGAGAAAAATGCATTATTTTCATTTTGGTATTTAATATAAAATTGGAACCCTCTGGAGGAAAAGAAATCATTCAAAAATAGTTAACTTTAGGATATCATTGAATACCAATATTACTAAAAAGTCAACAATCACAACTGCCACTATTCAGTTAATGCTTTCCCAAGGAACAAAACTTACCTGGCTCATGAATCATGTAATGAACCCAGCCAAGACTCTGTTGGACACCAAGTCTCCTCCACTCCTCTTCTGACATCAGATGGGTTTTGGGTACTTGTTTGGAAAGTTCTCTGGGTAACATGACATGCCTGTTGAAAGACATAACCAATATAACCACATATTAGTGCTGTTTGTAAATATGCCTTTTCTATATTTACGATCACTTTACACATGCATCTTTAGAATACTTAAAATTTGAATTTTTTGTCCCCAATGTTCTTGAAAGCATATTACATGAATTGGTGTCAATCTTGAGTACTATGGTCTCTACTACCTTTAATTCTGATGTTAATGTCCTATGTTCAAAATTAGGAAGGTAAGAATATGCAGTCCAAAACCAGAAGGCTTTTTATTTGGGATTAATTTTTTCCCCCAACAGAGGAGGTTTGCTAGTTGTCTCAATGTTCTTCAGGAATAGGACCCCCAAAACTAAGTTGGACACACACATTCATGAAAAATTAAAAAACAACAACAACCAAGCACAAAATAAGTATCTTTTTTGCAGCTATTTTTGGTCATGTGACTAAGTCCTGGGCAATAGAATATAAACAGAAAA